CTTAGTGTTTAGTCTCAGGGAGCTCAGATGTCATAATTACTTGTGGGTGACTCTTCAGCTTAGCCCCAGTTCCCCACCCTCCACACTGACAGCAGGGCCCCTCCCCTCCTGTCCTCTCCCTCACTGTGTGCTCTGCCCTCATGAGAACCCTTATGGCTGGTTCACCACAGGGTCCCTGCCTGGTTTGTGATGGTGTTTGCATGCGTTGACTTGTTTGGTGAAAAAACACACAAATATATTGCTCAGAGAGAAAGAGAGAGAAGAATAGGGAGAGGGAAACACCCATTTTGTGTTCCACTAATTTTATACATTGTTTGATTCTGGTTTTTTAAAAATATATTTTATTGATTTTTTACAGAGAGAAAGGGAAAACGATAGAGAGAAACATCGATCAGCTGCCTCCTGCACACCTCCTACTGGGGATGTGCCCGCAACCAAGGTACATGCCCTTGACCAGAATCGAACCTGGACCCTGCAGTCCACAGGCTGACGCTCTATCCACTGAGCCAAACCAGTTAGGGCATGATTCTTTTTTTAATATAAGCTTTATTTTAAATTTAAAGAAAAACTGAAAACGAGTATTTTTTACAAATTATACCAACACTGAAAACGTAATTTGGGAATGTTGAACATTAGTTCTCAATTCAAAATAATGACATGTCTTGGTGTTGGCTAATGTAAAGTTTATTTAAACCTAGTACTTTTATATAAGCTTAACCATTTCATCCTTCCTAAAATTCAGTGATTATGATTCAACTTTAGAAGGTTAAAGCAGTCTTCTATGTAAAACCCCATATACCTTTTTGAAATACAATATATTTACACCAGCGAGGAAATGATAAAAACCTGTAAAAACCACATGGGACTTGCCAAAAAGGCTGCCTACATACAGAGGGAGCATTTCGCCTCAGCACACACACGTGATCGAACAGACTCCCTCACGTTCTCTTACACAGCAACCTGCGTGGTTATAAATGCCGCTCTAGCATGTATGAACTGAAAATAACATGTTTTAAAAGGTCCTTGAAGACACAGGGGAGTGGAATGAGCCCGCGCTGAGAGCAGCACCACACAGGCTGTTATGAGGATGTGGCCGAGCTGCCAGCCCAGCTGGCTCTGCCCCTGGAGAAGCAGGCCCCACCCCGTGGGAACAGCGCCCACCCCAGGGAAGCAGGCCCCACACCAGGGAAGCAGGCCTGCCCTCAGAAAGCTGGTGGAGGACCCAGAAAGACTGATGGTCTTGCCAAAACCGGTTTGGCTCAGTGGATAGAGCATCGGGCTGCGGACTGAAGGGTCCCAGGTTCGATTCCGGTCAAGGGCATGTACTTGGGTTGCGGGCACATCCCCAGTGGGAGATGTGCAGGAGGCAGCTGATCCATGTTTCTCTCTCATCGATGTTTCTAACTCTCTATCTCTCTCCCTTCCTCTCTGTAAAAAATCAATAAAATATATTTTTAAAAAAAAAGACTGATGGTCTTTTTGATGATCTCCAAGGCCTCCTGGACCTCGTCCTCCTTGATGACCAGAGGAGGTGGAATCTGATGATGTCGCCATGGGTAGGCTTGGCCAGAAGTCCATTATCTCGAAGGCGCAGGCGAACCTTCCAAGCATCGGAATCTTTGGTTTCCCCGCTGACGGTGGCATCCAGCAGCCCCTTCCCACGCACTGCGGTCACGATGTCCCAGGGCAGCTTCCTGAGCTCATTCTCTTCTTCCAAAACTTCGCAGGCGGCGTTGGCCCCGCGGCTGCCCAGGGGGTTGCCCCTGTACGTGGAGCCGCGCTCCCCAGGCTGGATGGTCAGCATGATCTCGTGGTTACACAGCACCGCCCACACGGGGTACAGGCCACCGGAAAGGGCCTTGCCCAGGAGGACGAGGTCAGGCCTGACGTTTGCATGGCCGACTGCCAGCCATCGCCCAGTCCTGGCCAGTCCTGTCTGGGTCTCATCCAATAAACAGGACTGGGTGCCTGGCGCAGAGCTCGCGCACACCCCTCAGGCAGCCTGGGTCAGGACAATGACGCCCGCCTCGCCCTGAATGGGTTCGACCATGAACGCAGCAACGTTTAGATCCTGAAGAGCACGCTCAAGAGCAGGTAGGTTGTTGTAGGGAATGATCTCGAACCCCGGCATGAAGGGGCCAAAGCCGTCGTCGCTGCTGGGGTCCGTGGAGCTGTAGATGGCACACAGAGTCCTGCCCCAAAAGTTTCCAGCTGCGAAGACGATCTTGGCTTTGTCCTTGGGGATGCCCTTCACGGTGCAGCCCCACCACCGCGCCAGCTGGCAAGCGGTCTCCCCGGCCTCCACCCTGTCTATGCTCGTGGGGAGAACCTGGTGGTAGTTGAAGAGCTTCCTGACGTTCTCCTCGTCTTCGCCCGGCACGTTGTTGTAGGAGGCCCGCGAGGTCGGCGTCAGCTTCCCCGCCTGGCTCTTCAGGGCAGCCACAATCTTGGGGTGGCAATGCCCTTGGTTGACGGCGCTGTGCGCACTCAGGAAACCAAAGCATTTCCTGCCTTCCGCATCCCACAGGGCAATACCTGTCCCTCTCTCCAGGGTGACCAGTAAGAGGTGGTAAAGAGCGTCTCAATATTCACGCAAGATTTGAATTTTGCGTGAGCATTAGCAACGACAAAAAATAAAAGCCTGATTTTACTTGGTTTATTGAATCAGATTTTAATATCTGTTACCCTGTGATTTCAATCCCTTCAATTTGATAAGCATTACCAAGTACCAATTATGGCCCAGGAGCAGGGACAATGAAGACCAAGGCTTTGCGTGTGTACCAGCAAAGCTGTGGAGGCCATTTACCCGTTATGCTATTCCATACAAAACCCTATGCTGTATACATTTTGAATCAATAAAAAATTTACAATTTTTAATTATAAACCTGTGTTTTCTATCAAAATTACTTCTTGCGTGAATTTTGGGACACCCTTTAGTTGTGAGCGCCATACTTGGCTTCCCCGTTCAAAAACGTCATCCGACCATAGAGGGCCTTGGACCATCTTCTTAGTCGCCACGGATGTAGGAGAAGTCACTGGCGTGTGGGCGCCCCGCCACAGTCTGCAGACGAGCTAGCTTGGAAAGCATCGTGTCCGCAGAGAAAGAATTCCACCAACCAGCTACCCTTTCTCCTGCGGTTAGGATGGAAATGCAGATTGCTCAGCCTGGATCCAGGGACGACCTGCTGGGTCCAATAATCCCTGGGGGTGCCTCTGGCGCCAGAACCAGCGGCTATGTCTTGGTGGCAGCACATTGTTTGATTCTTGCATGGAGCCTGACTGAGGATGGAACCCACAACCTTGGCACTACTGAGATGATGCTTTAATCAACTGAGCTCTCTGGCCAGGAAGAAACTTATCAGGGGTTTTTAGTAAAATAAGTCACTAATGTATCTGAGAATAGTAGATACCAGAACCACTGAGATGAGAGGTAGTGATGGAAGACAACAATTCTCAGGTCACGCATCCCGGAACCAGAGAGGAGGGAGCCCGATTCTGGGTTGTGTCACCTGACAACTGCCCTCTCATAATCCAGGACCCCTCAGCAGGTATCGGAGAGCTGGTTTCGGCCCGATTCCCTGCAGGCCAGGCCGTAGGAACTCACCTGCCAGAGGGATCCCACTCATTCCACAGACACCCTTGAAGCCAAGGCGCTGCCCCAGGTGGAGCCTAATGGGGAGGGACCGGGGAAGGTTGGCATTAGGCTGTGTCAGACCCGTCTCAGCCAGTCCCACCCCACTTGTCACTTTCTAATTAATTTCCTTTCAATGTGCACAAGTCCATACACCCAGTCACTAGTAAAACAAAATGATATACTACTGAAATATCTTATGTCCATGTTCAATGCCATCATTTTCGCAGTTGGAATGTAGTTATGACATTTACACCAGGGAAATTTTCAACTACCACAAACCTAGACTTCAATATATCATTAAATGCTTAAACTTAAAGAACACTGGTGGAGAATTAACAATGCAGATTAAATGTATAAGTGTCTGGTACAAGTGGGCTATAAATCATACATAGGGTAAAAATTGAGAAAAACCATTTTGTTTATAGAATTCAAAAACCAAGAATACCATATGGCCAAAAAATCAGTCGAGTCACTGAGGACTGAGTGAAATTGAAACATATGTCTTAGAGGCTGCACCGCCCTCCTATTGGTTAGAATAGAATAATAAATTAAGTTTAAAAGTAAACAAAAAATCCTGATCATTTTAACAAAGAAGATAAAGACAGTGAAAGAAATACATGAAGAAATCATCACCATCAAATATCATTATGGAAATGAAGTTAAAACAAAAGCGAGTTAACAGTACACTCATTGATGGGGCTAGTACTTAAAAAGATTAACCTTTGTATGTGCTGGCAGAGTTGCATAGAATTTTCTGGGTGGGTGGGAAGGCAAACTGATTGACCATTTGAGGTCATAGTTCCATATATGTTGAAATGTACCACATTCACTGACAGTGGAACAGTTTAATAAGACATACATCTGTAGAAAGAATGGAATACAATATTCTGAGCTGTTTTATTTTTAAAACCCCAAACGTAGAAATAACTGAAATTATAGGCGGCTCAATAGTAAAAGTGGTTATCCATAGAATACAATATTTTCTAGAAATAAAAATTATTTATATAAACGTTAGTGTTAAATCTCAAACATCTGTATAGCATGAAGGAAGTCAGTGTTTGTTAAAAAGAATTCACCTTATAGTGCCAATAAATTTATGAAAAATATGAACTACTCTATTGTAAAGGAAGGTAAATCAATGTCTGCATGGAGGGTTGGGGAAGCAGAAATATTACAAAATGACTGGGGGTAAATACAGAGTGTGGCAAATTCAGGTTTAGAGTAGTTGGTGTTGAAAACAATGCACTAATAAATAACAACACAAATATAAAAACACCCTTAAAAAAAAAGATCATAAACCAGAGCAGAGGAGAGCACAGAGTTTGCAGGTTGGTGAATAAAAAACCCCCAAAATTTATCAAAGCATAATGTGAGTACCACTATGTCCCTGAAAGAGGTAGCACTGCTTAGCTGAGAACAGCTGCTCTGGATGAATCCTGGGTCAGGTCCATTTTCTAGTCATAGAGAAATGAATGAAGATACTGCCAAGAGCTTGGAGGAATCATAATTACCTCAATCAGAAGCGAGAACACAGAATACATTCCCCTGAGCACCCAGGGAATGTGACCGATGCACACTCCTCAGGTGAGGCAGGTGTTAGCTATGAAACCTCTTTAGTGATAAACACTCACAGTGACATCATTTGGGTTGTAGGTCTGGACATGTTAGCAAGTACAACACAGATCCTTCAAGTCTCATTTGTACCTCAATTTTATGATGAATCTAGCAGAGTGTATGTTCTCATTAAAGGGGTTTACATTCATGTAAATGGGTCCCATAGAGCCCCTTAAGTGTTCTTATTCTTAGTGAGAAAAATAAAACATTTCCTACACATTTACATCTTTTCTCCAGTGTGAAATTACAGGTGTCTAACCAGGTTATAGTTGTAGCTAAAAGGAATCCCACACTCACTACACTCACCAGTGTGAACTCTCTTGTCTTCACTGGGGATAGAGCTTTCACTAAAGGATTTCCCACATTAACTACACTCATATGGCTTTTATCGAGTGTGCACTCTGTGGTGCTTATTGAGGGTAGTCCTTTCACTGAAATGCTTCCCACATTCACTGCACTCATATGGCTTTTCTCCAGTGTGAACTCTGCGGTGATTAGTGAGGGTAGCCTTTTCTCTGAAATGTTTCCCACAATCGCTACACTCATATGGCTTTTCTCCAGTGTGAACTCGTTGGTGTATATTAAGGGCAGCCCTTTCACGGAAATGCTTCCCACATTCACTACACTCATATGGCTTTTCACCAGTGTGAACTCTGTGGTGTTTAGTGAGGTGAGACCTCTGACGAAAGGATATCCCACATTCACTACACTCATATGGCTTTTCTCCAGTGTGAACTCTATAGTGTTTAGTGAGTTCAGCCCTTTCAGTGAAATGCTTCCCACATTCACTACACTCATATGGCTTTTCTCCAGTGTGAACTCTGCGGTGTTTAGTGAGGGCAGCCTTTTCTCTGAACTGCTTCCCACATTCACTACACTCATATGGCTTTTCTCCAGTGTGAACTCTTTGGTGTATAGTGAGGTTATACATTTGACGAAAGGATATCCCACATTCACTGCACTCAAATGGCTTTTCTCCAGTGTGAACTCTGTGGTGTTTAGTGAGGACAGCCTTTTCTCTGAAATACTTCCCACATTCGCTACACTCATATGGCTTTTCTCCAGTGTGAACACTGTGGTGTTTAGTGAGGGCAGCCTTTTCTCTGAAATGCTTCCGACATTCGCTACACTCATATGGCTCTTCTCCAGTGTGAACTCTTTGGTGTACAATGAGGCGACACTTTTGACGAAAGGATATCCCACATTCACTGCACTCATAAGGCTTTTCTCCAGTGTGAACTCTTTGGTGTACAATGAGGCGACACTTTTGACGAAAGGATATCCCACATTCACTGCACTCATAAGGCTTTTCTCCAGTGTGAACTCTCCCATGTGGAGGGTGGTTAAACATTTGTCTACACACTTCCCCACATTTATTATACTCATAAATCATATCTCCAGAGCAGAGACCTTTCTGATAAGCAACTTTCTGTTTCTGGCTGTCAGCTCTTTCACATTCCACCCACTGGTGATGTCTTTTTCCACTGAGAAATTCCTGTGAAATCTCATTGTTACTGTGTGGCTCCATAGTGTTAAGAGTGGCCTGGTGCTGGAGAAGCCCTAACATGGCTGGGGAGTCTTCCCCAACCTCCATACTAGCTACAGGCATCCCAGATAAGTAGAAGCAGCAACAGGTCACAAGCGAGGGACTCTCCATATCTTCTTTCCAGGGCTTCTCTCCACTGGCATCCTTCTGTTGCTGGTGAGGGTTTGCACTGGAACACAAGTCTCTCAAACATGCATCACTTAAGAACACATTCTTCTCAAAGCAAACCACTTGTAACTCACTCAGGTGCAAAATATCTTTTAACACTGAGAAGCACGGTTTACACAGATGGGTCCTCTGGGTGGCTGCAGCTGTCCTGGAAGCCCTGACCTGAGAATCTCCTATAGATACACTGTGCTGAGAATAGGCCTCCACATCATCCATCTTACGCCAAGGACCTGAAAACAGAGGAATGATGACAAAATGAATGTTGACTCTGGTGACAGCGGGAAGTCCCATTATAAAAGTGGGTTGCACATACTACATTGGTTTCATGCAATTGGCTGAAAATAAAAGACCTGAAAGATGGATTAGTAAGAGGTCACTCTGAAGTTCTTGAGCACTGAAGATCACAAAACAAGGGAGACTTCAGCAGAAATAGAGCAAAAACAAGACAAGTACCACATGGAGGAGAAGTGGACTGTCCAGCTCATTCTGCTGCTAACAGCATTCAGTAGATCAGTGATGGCGTACCTATGACACGTGTGTCAAAGGTGACATGCAAACTCATTTTTTTGCTTGATTTTTCCTTGTTAAATGGCATTTAAATATATAAAATAAATATCAAAAATATAAATCTTTGTTTTACTATGGTTGCAAATATCAGAAAAATTCTATTTGTGACATGGCACCAGAGTTAAGTTAGGGTTTTTCAAAATGCTGACACACCGAGCTCAAAAGGTTTGCCATCACTGCAGCAGATCTTCTATGCTGGTGACATGGGCAAGCTGTGCAGAAGGTTGGTTACATCTCATTCCAAGTAAAATTCAATAAACAAGTAGCTGGTATTTTAGGGGTATTTAAGCATGTACACTGAGTGGCCAGATTATCATGACCACCCCATCAGTACAAAGAAATGAATTAGTTATTCAAAGAATAATAATAATAATGATAATAAAACCTTGAGAGTATTTGCTTAGGAAGTTTTCAATATTGAGTATTTCGGAAGTGTCAATGAAGTGCTGACGGGGTGGTCATTATAATCTGGCCACTCAGTGTATGTGCTCCTTATAACGCTTGCATAGGTCCATGTTGTAGAATACTGCAGAAAGAGAAGTGCAAAGGAATAGGTGATGTAAAAAGGACACAAAGGCAAAGATATCCAAAGCTAGAAAGTCATTGATGAAATGAGAAGCCAGCAAAGTGTCAAATATGGAAAAGGAAATGTATAAATGAGGGGTGGCCATTGGAACTTGCACCAAACATCATTAGACAGGAACAGTTCCTGGTACAATCTGAACACCATCCTTATGTCATACCTCCCCCGAGCTGCCACTCAGCCAGGCCAGGCTTCCCCTAGGAACATCCTGTACGTTCACCCTGCAGAAACCCAGGGTTCTCCCTGCACCCCCTTCCCTAGAAATATCTACAAACTAAATATTCCAAGTTTCAATGAAAGACAACAGAGGTGAGCATCCATCACTTGCCCATAGCATTCGGCTTGCAATAGTATTCACAGAAGGTAATATTACAAACAACAATGGAAGGAGGGTCTTACAAGAACAGCAACTGGTTCATGTATATAAAGAAGATACCTGGCACAGGCATTCACCAAGGTCCTTATCTACAGGAAAGGTGCAGAAGTGGAGGCCATGGATCTGGATATAGTCACCCTTTCTGGGTGAGGAAGAGCAGGAGGGACCCATTAAGCTGTCTGTAAGACTGCTGACACCCAGACACTTCCTGCAGTTCCTAAGGCAACTGGTGTTAGGGAAGTTTGTGGAGTCTATTGCTCAGGGCTCTCTGAGAGCTCACCACTGGCAGCCACAGCCCATTTCACAAGACAGTGGGGGAAATGAGGAGAGCCCATGGTCTTGCTTTGAGAGAGACAGTGCTATGTCTGGAGAATAAATAAAGAGTGGGCATCACTTCAGGACACTAGGAGAGATGAAGGTCTTACCTACGAATGATACAAGTGAAAACACTTCCAGCATCACATCACAGTATAGACGTCTCTGAGCCTCATCAAGGATCTCCCACTCCTCCTGAGCGAACGCAATGGCCACGTCCTCAAAATTCATATCCTGTCATAATGAGGACAGTACATCCCATGATAAGATTCTCTCTTGAGATGCCAAGTTTGTCACACTCCCCACCCGGTACAACCATCTGCTTCCTCTACTCCCCACATCAGGGAAGACAGCAGGCGTTAGTCCCATCAAAGTCAGTATCTCCTTATATTCCTACTAGAGGCCCGGTGCACAGAAATTTGTACACTTGGCGGGGGGGCAGCCCTCAGCCCAGCCTATGCCCTCTTGCAGTCTGGGACCCCTCGGAAGATGTCCACCTGCTGGCTTAGGCCCACTCCCTGGTGGATTGGGCCCAAGCCGGTAGTCACACACTCCTCTGGCAGCCCGGCAGCCCTGGGGAAATGTCCACTTGCCAGCAGGGAGCAAGCCTAAGCTGCAGTCGGATATCCTTAGCGCTGTTGAGGAAGTGGGAGAGGCTCCCACCACCACCGCTGTACTGGCAGCCATCAGCCTGGCTTGTGGCTGAGGAGACCTCCCCCTGTGGGAGTGCACTGACCTCCAGGGGGCAGCTCCTGCACTGAGCGTCTGCCCCCTAGTGGTCAGTGTGTGTCATAGTGACCAGTCATTCCCAGTTGTTCTGCTGTTAGGGCTGATGGCTGTTTGCAGCTGGTCACATCCCCTTCAGAGTGCCGGTCCCCACTGGGGTGCCTGGCCAGCCTGGGTGAGGGGCTGATGGCTGTTTGCAGGCTGGTCACACCCCCTTCAGGGTGGGGGTCCCCACTGGGGTGCCTGGCCAGCCTGGGTGAGAGGCTGATGGCTGTTTGCAGGCTGGTCAAGCCCCTTTCCCAGTGGGGACCCTTACCCCATGGAGGTTTGGCTAGCCTGGGTGAAGGGCTGAAGGCTGTTTTCAGGCTGGCCACACCCCCTTTTGGGTGGGGAGTCCTGCAGGGGTGCCTGGCCAGTCTGGGTGAAGGGCTGAGGGCTGTTTTCAGGCTGGCCAAGCCCCCTGGCGACGGAAGCTCCCAGCCTCTCCTTTTCTTTTCTTTTTTAATTCTGGGGTTTATTTACCTTCTATAATTGAAACTTTGTAGCTTTCAGAGGAGCTCAGAGCTGGCCAGGGTGGGCGAGAGGGAAGCCTGCTGGTCGCTCCAGCTCCGTGGCCATGGCCAGCTGAAAGCAGGTATCTGGGGTTTATTTACCTTCTCTAATTGAAACTTTGTTGCTTTGAGTGGAGTTCAGAGCCCGCCGTGGCAAGCGGGAAGCTTGGCTTCCTCCATCATTGGGGCAACCAAGCCTCCTCCTTGCTCCAGCTCCGGGGCTGCCGGCTGGCCATCTTGTTTGGTTAATTTGCATATAGTCACTCTGACTGGCTGGTGTGCGTGGCTTAAGGTGTAGCGAAGTATAGGCAATTTGCTTGTTTGTCTTTTATTAGTGCAGATTGATGCTGTGTCTCTCACAACAATAAAGGCAGATGAGCAGTTATAATATACCTGTGCTTTGGGCCTCAAATGAGAGTCAGACTGCCCCCTTTCAATAACAGTGGGTGCCAGTCACATAGGGTAGGATGAGATGTTGCACATAAAGGGAGTGTGAGTGACTTGACACTGGTCTTGTCAAGCAATACCCATGTTGTCCTCCAAATTGTCCCTCAAAGACACCAAAATGCTAATGCACATTACACTTCCGACTCCAATCCCAGTTTGCTCAGGCCATCACTTTGCATTACCTGTTGCCCATAGTTCTTTGATCCACACTTGTCTCACAGCTTCATTCCCAAAGGCACATTTCACTAATGACATAAATAAGCCATCACAAGGACAGGTTGTTTTCTAACTACTTTATTTTCTAAAATTCTAGTTCACCACCTCTGTGATATATTTCTCTCTCAACCTTCTCTGTTCTCCCTTCCCCATGCTGATGGAGATTTTCAAGTGCAGGTGACACTGATGTATGCTATCTCATTCCTGTTGTTCACTGGGTCAGGCCTCAACTAGAAATGACAGGTGGGCACATATATGTCACCTAAGCTCTGGACCTCGTATGTAGCACCACAACAACCCATCTTGTTAGAAATTATCCTAAAATTTCCCATATCATATCATGAAGACACCATCAGAAATGGACTCCCTTTTCATTCACTCGTCTGTCAATGTTAGTGCCCAGCTGCTCTGGTTTTAGTCCCAGGACCACACTGATGTCATCATGCCCTGTGGGTGACTGTGCAGCTCAGCCCGGTTCCCCCACCTGCTACACTGACATAAAGAGCACCTCCCATACTGTTCTTTGGATCTCTTATCCTCCACACCCCGCTCACCCTCTCATGCCTTTTTCCTGAGGTTTGAAGGTCTCTTTGATGCTTTTGTCTCTGAATGTATTTTGTTCATCACTTTATGCCAGTGGTCCTCATCCTTCCTAATGCAGTGACCCTTTAATAAAGCTCCTCATGTTGTGGTGACCCCAAAAAACAATATATAATTATATATGTGTTTTCCAATGGTCTTAGGCCACCCTTGTGAAACGGTCGTTTAACCCCCAAAGGGCCGTGACCCACAGGTTGAGAACCGCTGGTTTATGCTGTCATTATATTCCACAAATGATGATATCATGTGATACTGATCTTTCTCTGACTTGCTTATTTTGTTTAGCATAATGCCCTCCAGGTAATAAATTCATTTTAAAAATTGTTAAAAGATTCTGAGCAGACATTTTAACAAATATGATAAAGACAATGTGAATATATGTATGAAACAAATCCTCACCATCAAAAACTGTAAGGTTAATGAAAGTAAAACAAAGGTGAGGTAATCCTATACTCATTTATTGGGCTAGTATTTAAAAAAAATTACCATCATATGTGCTGGCAGAGTTGCAGAAAAACAGGAACTTTCATTACTCTGGGTGGAACTTTCATTACTCTGGGTGGAACTTTCCCCCCAGAAGGAAATAAGCATTTTAGATCACAGTTCCACAT